ACATACCTAAACATAATAAAGCCCACATATAACAAACCCACTGCCAACATCATAGTCAATGGGCAAAAACTGCAAGCATTTCTCTTCGGATTGAGGACTAAACAGGGATGTTCACTTTCACCTCTCTTATTCAACATAGTACTGGAAGTCTTACCCACAGCAATCAGACAAGAAGAAGAAATAAAAGGCATCTAAATTGGAAAGGATAAGGTAAAACTGTCTTTTATTTGCAGATGACATGATACTGTACAGAGAACCCCAAAGATTCCACCAAAAAGTACTAGAACTTATAGATGAATTCAGTGAAGTAGCAGGATACAAAATTAATATCCAGAAATAATTTGCATTTTCATATGCCAATAATGGACTAACAAAAAAAGAAATTAAGAAAACAATCCCATTTACAATTGCTCCAAAAAGAATAAAATAAACCTAATTAAGGATGTAAGAGACCTATACACAGAAAATTATAAGACACTGAAGAAAGTAATTGAAGAATATACAAATAAATGGAAGCACCTACTGTGTTCCCAGATAAGAAGAATTAACATCATTGAAATGTCCATACTACCCAAAGCAATCTATGGATTCAATGCAATTCCTATCAAGATTTCAATGATGTTTTTCACAGAATTAGAACAAATATTTCAAAAATTTATATGGAATCACAAAAGGCTCCACATAGCAACAGTGATCCTGAGAAAGAAGTACTAAGTTAGAGGAATCGTGCTACCTAATATCAAATTATACTACAAGGCCATAGTAATCAAAAAAGCCTGGTTCTGGCATAAAAATGGATATGTAGATCAATGGAAGAGAATAGAGAGCCCACAAGTAAACCCACATCTTTATTGCCAATTAATATTCAACAGAGGAAGCAAACACATACAATGGGCTAAAGATAGTTTATTCAATAAATGATGTTGGCAAAATTGGACAGACACATGCAGAAAAATGCAACTAGACTACTTTCTTATACCACATACAAGAATAAATTCAAAATGGATCAAAGACTTAAATGTTAGATACAAAACTATGAAAATCCTAGAAGAAAATATAGACAGCAAAATCTCAGATATTGCTCATAGAATTTTTTTCATTGGACGTATCTCCTCAGGCAAGGGAAACAAAAACAAAAATAAACAAACTTAGTTTTTTTACAAAGCAAAGGGAAACATCAACAAAATAAGAAGACAACCCACAGAATGGGAGAAAAATTTGCCAATACATCTGATAAGGGGTTATTATCCAAAATTTTGAACTTATAAAACTCAACACCCAAAATACAAACAACCCAATAAAAGATAAGCAAAGAACCTGGACAGACACTTCTCCTACAAGGACATACAGATGGCCAATAGACATATGAAAAGATGCTCAATGTCACTAATAATCAGAGAAATGCAAATTAAAACTGCAGTGAGATATCAATTCACACTTGTCAGAATGGCTATCATCAATAAGTCAACAAACAACCAGTGCTGGTGAGGATGTGGAGAAAGGGGAATCCTTTTGCACTGTTGGTGGGAATGCAGACTGGAGTAGCCATTGTGGAAAGCAGTGTGGAGATACCTCAAAAAATTAACAATGGACCTGCCTTTTTACCCAGTGATCTCACTTATGGAAACATCCCAGCGATCCCACTTATGGGAATATATTTGAAAGAACTCAAAACACTAATTTGAAAGAACGTGAGCACTCCTATGTTCATTGCAGCATTATTTACAGTCACCAAGATATGGAAGCAGCCCAAGTGTCCATCAGTAGATGAATGAATAAAACAACTATGGGACATTTACACAATGGAATTCTACTCAGCCACAAAAAAGAATAAAATTTCACCCCCTGCAACAGTATGAATGGACCTGGAGAACATTATGCTAAGTGAAATGAGCCAGTCAGAAAAAGGCAAATGTATGATTTCACTCAATAGTGAAATCTAATGAACAAACTCAGCTGACAAACAAAACAGAGACAGACTCATAGATAGAGAGCAGATGACAGCTAGTGAGGGGATGCAGGGGGATTAGGGAGTGGAGGGGTTGGGCAAAAAGGAAAAAAGACTCGTACCTATGGACAATGCTGTGGTGATTGCTGGAGGGAGGGGGATATGAAGGGACTAAATGGTAATGAAAAAACAAAACCATAAAAATTTAAAAAAAAAAGGAAAAGGAGAAAGCCTTGTGGGAAAAGTTTCCCAAAGCTCAATTGTTTCTAAGTCCTTTTCCTTTTATTTATAGCTTTGCTGGACGTGATACAGAGCTTTATTTATAGCTCTGGACAGATCCAGGGATAAAAGTCATCAAGTCATTTCCCTACTCTCTGCATGCATGAAGGATGAAGTGGAGGCCTCCAAAAAAAGAGGGAAAAGACAGAAATGAGGATGGAGGAGAGCAGACGGGTGAGGCAAGGGATATCTGGCTGAAGGGAGAGAGTTCCAGCTATACTCAGGGTCCCATGAGCTCCCCATAAACTGATCCTCAAATTTCTGTGATATGGAATAGAGTTGAAACCAGGAGGATTGGTGAAAAGTCAGTGTAAAAGGACTTCCTTTGTTACTTACCTTTTTCAATTTTCTCTCAGATTTCAGATTTTCTACCCCCTTTTCTCCCGGTGACTACATTGGTACCTTTACCACACCAGCCCTCCTACTTCATTGGGGTCCAGGCCCTGTTTTTTTCCCTAAATCTCTAAAGTTGTTCTCTGTTATTTTCCTGTACTGAGTTTTGATATTATCTTTCCCAAAGTCATGTTCCCATATCAAATAACAGTGGTCCCCTTTAAGCATTAAACCAGGGATTCTAGTTCTCTAAAAACAGCAATCACATATGCATGTAAGTGTGCTCGTAAACAGCTAAAAAATAAATGTAAGCCCAAAGTAGAGGTGTGATAGAGCCAGGGTCTATACCCAGCACCAACCTTCACTCAACTCTGCTAATTTCAGTATTTTCAACTCTGAGAAGTCTATAGTCTTGGCAGTCCTGGCTCTTCTCTGCAGAGAAATGCAAAGAAGCTCAGCTCTGAATCTGGTTATCACAACGACTGAGGACTGAGGAACCAGGGCTATTCTATTTTAAAACCAATGGGGTGATGCTACATCATATATATCTATAGTGGCATTGAGAAAATCCAGTAAGTAATTTTTAATGTTCCTTCAATGAGTCTGAACTCTCAAACTTAAGTGGAATGTAGAGAAGTTCTGAGACTAGAAAAGAGCTGTGAGAATAAATTTTTGGATTATACAATTTTATAGGAAAAGTTAAAAAAAAAAGGGTTTACTCTCCTGAAGATAAAAAGGATGACCCAAGTCTATGATGGGGCACTCTGACTAACAAATTCTCTATTTCCATGGAAGAAAAAATAAATTGACATCATAGGAGGTTACTAATTACTTAGGCTTTCTAGACAAGGTCTATGAAAGAAGAATCTATATCAGGTTTCAAAAGAAAAGTGACCAGCAATACTGAAAGGAAAAGAAATCAACAGAGACAAGAGGGAAGGGGGGGGTCAGGGAAAGGGAAGGGAAGGGGAAAGTCTAGGAACATATAGCAAGGACTCATGGACAAAACCAAAGGGGAAGAGCTGAGGGAGGGAAGGTGGGAGGGGGCAAGGGAAAGAGGTGGGGGGAAGGCAGAGACAAATGTATTTAAAAAGTAAATAAATTAATTAAAATAAAAAAAAGAAAAGTGAGTATCTAAGTATGAAGATTTGAAAACAAATAGACTCTCATTGGTTTTGGAAATTTTCAGTGAGACCTGGCTTATAGTCTAGGAGGAATATTTAGGTAGCTTCTCAAGTCCTTCCCAGAACTTCTATTTCTATGGATACACTTATTAGGTTTCTACATAACACAATATTCTACCAAATTGACAGAATGAAGTGTTGAATATGGAGGCACAAGTTCCCATCCACTCTCAACCCTAATGTGCACTGAATGTCTCACACTTCAAAGCTAGTCAATCATGAGGCCCAGTGATGAAGGGTGCAGTGGGGAAGCTGGAATCTAGCCCAGCACTGCAGTAAAATCTACTGTGATTTCTCAGTAGAAATAAAAGCGGGGGAAGAAAACACTATAAAGGGCTATTAGGGGAGAAAATATTTGTCGCCATGGTCAGAATAAAAGTCCTACCAAATGAAATAAATTCTTGTGGAAGAAGATGAGTCATTCCAGGGAGAGTATTGTGTTCCTTTTCCCTTACTCTTCATTTAGTTTTTGTCCACTCAGTGTACCAAGCTGTATCCTCTCTCCTGTTTATTTTTCTATCCATGAAAGATGCATGGATTGTATACATCCTTTGGGTAGGTTTTTTGTCAGAAAGCACTTTAAAAGTAAAAGTGTTTTACTTGTACTATCTCAACAGCAAAGCATGCATCTCCAAAATTGGTTTGCTAGCAAGCTTTTTCTTTGAGTAAACAACAATACTGTTAGTGATTTTTAAGCTGTTAATATACATACATGAAAAGAAACAAGAACCCTGTTCTACCATTATAAATCATAGAGTGAGTAGCCCTTGGTAGAACTAAGTAAAAGTATTCTGGCCACTGAGACTTTATACTTTGAAAAAAGTCATACTGATAATTCTAGTCGCTATTGACAGTTTGATTTTCAATGTTTCAAAATATAATTCATCCACAAGGCCTTAACTATTATAATTGAAAGTACTTAACGAAGTCTAATATATATGTACATGTAATAGAAATTTCTTGACTCTGTTCAGTTAGAATCTATGAATGCAGAAATAAAATTTCTTTTAAGCCAATGTGGAATTTTATTTCTAATATCCTTGTAACATCCCACAGAGTATGTTTACAATAAGTATGAAAAGTAGCATGTCAAATTTCTTTTATTCGATATCCATCACCCAATAAAATCAAAGGATTATAACATAATCCACTTCCAGAGTTCTTTTTGCAATAGAGTAGGACTATTATCCATTTCTAAAATATCCCTCAAAATTAATAATATCTTTGGTGAGAGAAATAGAAAAGTTAACACAAACCTTAAGACCTCCAGCAGATCAGAAGAAAAATAATGATCTTTGGGGACTTGAGTGACACTGTGTATTCACAAAACTCTTTTAAATGGAAGCTGTTCACAAAGGAAGCCCCGTGGAAGACAGTGTGGCTTTGACATGCCCGGTGCTTCTGGAAGGAAAGAAAAGCACACGATTAGATTGTGTCCAAAGTACCACTGCTGCCAGTCTCAGCCTCTGTCAGAAAGCACTGTATTAGCGCTTATTGTTATTATTTTAAAAATGGTGTTCAATTCTGTTAATTTTTGTCCTCCCAAATTTCCCTATGTATCACTGGCAGAGTGGGGAACAGTAACATTTCAGCACTGTTTTTAGAAATTTCTGAAGGTCAGAAATATTTTACTAAGAAAAATCTGCTTTTCCCCTTATTTAAACTGGCCAGGATTGAGGACTGTGGATGGGGTATGAGTCAGAGGCAGCAACACCAACTAGTATTTACTGTGTGCCTACCTGCTGCAAGGCATTGTGTGCCAGGGGCTTCGTATTCATGGGTACTTGACTGCAAAGAACAGCCTGACAATGGGAGAGCACTGGTTCCATTTTACAAAGAAGACTAAAGTGTGGTCAGGCTTAGAACCTGAGACTAGCAAAGCCCAAAGGCTCAGGTGTGGCTCTCACTTCACTCTGTAGCCTACATGATTTGAAAAACTATTTCACAAACAGAATTGACAAGAGAACAGATAATGTTGCAATATACTAAATTAATTAAAAATTTTCTTTCTTAATTTGCTCTAATTTCTTTTTATCAAACCTTGTCTTATTTAGTCAAGACCCATAGAAATACAGACACGCAGCTTCAAGCAGTGCACTTTGTCACCTACTTCTTTTCCTTATGCAAAGAGAAAGAACTTTTTGGAAACCCAGGACCTCCCTTGTGTTACGGGGCAGTTTGTATGCCGTGTTCCACCTGGGACAGCGGCGCAAACATCTGGCCTTCCCCTGGTCCCTTCACATGACCCGCAGTCCCTTCCCTGTCTCAGTGAAAGAGAGCATCTTCTTTTCCAAGGTTTTCCTGATGCTATAAGAAATGGAACCACACCTTCTGTGGATTTCACTGCGTGATATTACTGTGTCTCCTCATGGCTAGTTCCATATTAACAGCTGAGTGACTGAGCCAGACGGGACAGTGCTCAATCTAGAGTTCTATCCTCTCTTTTAGCCAATTATCTATGTGTTTCTGCTGGTTCCACTGCCCTCACAGACAGCGCCCCCAGCTCACCCTCCACAGGCTGTCCCAGAAGCCACTCCTAAGGTGTGTCTCAGGGTCACTGCCTGTTAATTAACTACTTCAAAATTTCTCTCAAAGTTCCAACTTTGAATGGCATAGACTTCCATCTGCACCTTGGAACTTTTAGCTCACATCCACACTGCACTTGGGAAGGCTAGAGAATGATGGAGCAGAAGGTCACACATAGCTTTTTACATTTTTTTCTTTTCTTTTTGGCACCAAGAGCTGGTCATGAATAAGAAACAGGGGGAAAGACTGCTAGCAGTTTCAGAGTTGTACAGGCATGTAGCCTAGGATTATTACATTAGGAAAAAAAGAAAAAAGAACTGAGCCAAACAGAGCCAGTCTATCCATAAAAGAAGGAAAAAACTGTGATGAAGAATAGAGAAAAGAAGTATTTGGACTGTAGAATCTAACCTAAATGACAGGAGTGCAAAATAAATAGAAATTTGTTTTATAACCTCATATAGTAGCATTCTGCTTTCTTCATACCACTTAAAAGCAGAGTTTCATGGTACATACCTAAACTTGTAAACCCTTTTCCCATAAAATCCCAGTGGCAATTTTCAAGTACTCACTCAGCCACTATCTAAAGCACACTTATGAGTCAATTAATTAGTAAGAAAATTCCAGGAATGCTAAAATAAGCAAGATGATAATCTCCTTGAAGCCTCTACTACCTTGGAGGGGGATACAACTAGAATGTCAAATATAAGAAGGTAGTATTAATAAACATTTGAAAGAATGGGGCCTGAATCCATCTGCCTGGGTATGTTCCTGCTTTGTCTCTTACAAACCATATGACTGGGGGCAAGGTACTTAAACTCTTTAACCCCAGCTTCTTCATCTGCAAAATGCAGAAATGATATACTTTTGGCACAGGTTGTTGTGAGCATTAAGTAAAAAATTGACATAAAGTGCTTGGTCCAACCAATGGCACATAGTAAGAACTCATCAAATGTTAGGAAGAGATAGTAATAGTGTTATATAACAGAACATGATGATGTTGGTGAGACAGAAAGTACTCTGACTCTGTTGGAAGGGATGGGAATCAAGAAGGCTTCAGTGAAAAAGGTAACATGCAAGACCAGCTTTTCTAAACAGGCACAAATAATTAGGCTTTTACAGATTCTCTGATGATCATTGAAGAGCTAAAAAATGAGCTACTTCAGAAAAAATTAGATCCATGAAATCAGACATTATTTTCCAGGATTTGGTGTGAAAGTACATAACTACCATAATAACATAGCCGGGGAATGATAAAAACAAAATCTTTGTATTATTACTAAGAAAGACACAATATCCTGCTGGATCCTGCTCTGTTCAACTGTAATCCAAAATACTTTGAATGGAACTTGGAAAGATCTATACACACTATTTTGAAACTTAGCCTCAAATTTAAATCACTGGGCTTGTGATATCATAGCATAGTATCTTCTTATTGATGCTTTTATATATAGCAAGTCTTGAAATCAGGGAGCTAGAATCTCCAGATATTGTCATTCTTTTTTCAAAAAATGTTTGACTCAAAAATATAGAGAAAAGTGTGATTCTTATAAGACCTTGTATTTCCATATAAATTTTAGAACCAATTTGTCAATTTCTACTAAAAAACAAATACCCACCCACTCTTCTGGGACCATATTCAATCTGTATAATATTTTGGGAAAACCCAGCATCTTAACAATACTGAATCTTTAATCCTAGAATATGGTATCTCTCCCCATTTACTTAGGTCTTCTTTAATTTTTATCAGAAATGTTTTATAATTTTCAGTGTACAGGTCTTGTACTTCTTCATTTAAATATATTATCATGGTTTTGATAGTATCATAAATGGTATTTTTAAAATTTCATTTTCAAATTGTTTTTGGTGTATAGAAATAAAATTGATATTTTTATACTGCCCTTGTGTCCTGAGGTCTTGAAAAATTAAATCAACAGATTTTTGTTAACTTTAAATAGATCTAGATTACTTAGGATTTTTCTAGATATACAATCATGCCATTTACAAATAGAGATAATGCGATTACTTAGTCCTTTTCAGTATGTAACCTTTTAAAATTTATTTTTAGTTAATCTTATTGTATTGGCTAGGACCTCCAGTACAATGTTAAACAGAATTAGTGAGAGTGGACACCCTTCTTCCTGATTTAGGAGAAAAGCATTCATTACCTCAATATTGTTAGTTGTAGGTTTTTCATAGATGCCCTTCTATTTCTAGTTTTGCTGACAGTATTTTATCATTATTACAGGTTGAGTTTTTTTGAATGCTGTTTCTGAGCCTACTGAGATAATCATATGATTTTTATCTTTTATTCCATTAATGTGGACTGATTTTTTTAAACGTTAAAGTATATTTGCATACCTGGAATAAACTCAACTGGTAATAATATATCATTATTTCTATGTAACTGTATTATATTCCTAATTGTGGGTTAAATATTTTTGTGTCTATGGTCATGAGGGATATCAATGTGTATTTTTTTATATGACTTGGTGTTCATGTTATGACTTGGTGTTAAAGTTATCAGATATTAGAGAATGACTTGGGAAGTGCTGTCTCTATTTTCTGTATTTGCTTACTACTAGTATTATTTCTTCTGAAAATTTTGAAGGAATTTACTAGTGATATTATTTGCATTTGGAATTTTCTTCAAGAGACAGCTTTCAATTATAAATTCAATTAATTTAATAAATACGGTGTTATTCCTATTTACTATTTCTTCTTGCATCAGTTTTAGTAGATCTTATCTTACTAAACAAGAAATTCATCCATTTCACCTATAATGATTTTCTTTGTCTCTTACTGCTTTTCACACCCTCTAATAACAATTCCTGAATTTATGCCTTTTCCTTTCTACTTCACTTGACTATACTCTATCCATCTCTCTGGGTCTCCTTTCTTGACGTATTTCCCAAAATGATATTTTTTATCTTTTTCTGTTAGCTTCTATAGCCCTTAATAATGTAATCTTGTACTGCCTTGTATTTTTATCTTTTATTTTTTTATTTCTGAAAATATATTATGGAATATTTTAAGGTAGAGATTATATCTTAAACTTCACTGACACTATAGCATCTAGCATAGTCTTTAACATTAACTAAATATTTACAGTATTATTGATTTGTCCATCCTGTGTGTTAGTTTAACCATCTATTGTGGATGAGCTTAGAGAATCTTATAGTGTCAAAAAGGATGAAGTTTAAAAACACTAAACTAAACAACAAACTAAATTTAGGCTTGTCAAAAGGCACAGGAGCCAAACTAAAAGAGCTCCCAATGGCCACAAATGAAACAGTTTGAGTAACAAAACATGTAACAATAGTATTAGAAAATATAACACAAAGAATAAAATAGATATCCATGAGTCCATAAAATATAAATAAATGGTTGTATAAATACATAAATAAACTGGAAAGAAGAGATATGTCTTCCTTACAGAATTTCAAACAGAAAATGTAAAAGGAAGGAGATAAATGGAAAATAATGAGAACACCCAATAGTAATTGCTACATATAAGATACAATGATCAACTAAAATTAGCAGGCAAACATTTGAGGAAGAGTTAAATAGCCTTAAAGTAGCCCCCCTAAAATATTTATTAATTACTCTAGTAGTTTTAACATATATCCAAAAGTCTTTCATCCTCTTCAATCCAGGAGATGGAACTTAATTTCTCTCTCTTTGACTGCATGCTTGACTTAGTGACTTGCTTGAAATAAATTTAACAAAGAGAAAATAGTAATTGCGAAGAAACCTGGCAGCTATCACCTTAATCAAGTGATTAAAGTTTATGTCATCTGTAAAAGTCATGCTTTATCATATACCTATTATATAAAGAAAATGGCATTTTACCTCTGTGGTATTTTTCTCTGGAATCC